GTAGTTTCTATAAGGCGCTTGCCTCGCTGTTGGTTTTGTTATTGTGGTGACTTCAGAACGAAGAGCCACAACACTAACCATCAAGTTTTGACGACTTCCCTCTCTTCTAATTTTGAACGCTGAAGCTATTGAAGTGATTAATTAAATGACTATTTCTTCGTATGCATACGATTTTTCGTTTAAACTTCAGGGGCCGATTAACGCGTTAGCGTTAGAATTTTTTTTTGTGCAAATGTTAGCACAAAGTTACGCATACATTTCGATTCGCACAAATTTGTGCGCGAATATGTACGAATTTGTGCATACGTATGCATAAAAAAAATCTTTGCACAAATTTGAGCAAATGAAACGTATGTGCAACTTTGTACAAATAAAACCTACAAATCTGTTGGTGTGTGGTTATCGCTGCGCATCGTGAACAAGTTGGCAAGTTTAGAGCAAATTTTAGCTGGTGATACATTAACATACTCTTAATTTAACATAACAAATATATAAATAATCCGAAGGTCTAAACGAGCTCTCCTTGGTAAGAAAAAGGAGAAGCTCTAGACCAGTAACCTAGATATCAAAGGCTGGGAAATTCTATGCCAACTGCGGCAGGGGCGTTGGGCTCGCTGCCCTTTAATATTCGTGAAAATTTTCACACAGAACTACATTTAAATTTGTATCATCTACTTTCACGATAGATTCTTGATTGAGCTATTTTTTTTCGTGCTTATGCGAGTTTTCACTATTGCCCGCTTTTTCTCCCGAGTTTTCGCGATTTTTCGAAATTTGGACGCAAGTTTGGTGTGAGCAAGTGAATTGTACAACGAGTTGGACAGTAGGCGCGTGGGGGAAATCACTCAAGATCTGAGTGTACGAGTTAGTACGTTAGTACACGTTAGTACACCTAATTTTTGCTCAATTTTACATCATTTATCCAAAATAATGTTATTGCGGTACTATTACACTTGATTTTTACCATTAGTACGCGTTATTACGCTGTTAGTACGAGTTAGTACGTCTTTAGTACAGGCCTGGGTGTACGAGTTAGTACGCAAGTGATTTCCCCCTCGAGTGGGCGCCCCTCGGATTCAGCGGCGCGCCGGTCTGAGCGCCCGATAGACCACACCCAGCTACGCCTCCAGGACACGCCGGTATAAAAGCTCCCGCCGGCCGGCAACCAGCATCAGTCCTCCAGACCGAACACCAACAGCCACCATGTTCAAGTCCCTGCTCCTCGTCTTCG